CCCATTTGCTGAGCCTGTCCAGGTCAGCCTGGATCACCCGCCTGTCTTCTGGCGTGGATGCTTTGTCCCAAAGTTTGGTATCATCAGTCAACTTGGCCAGTCCGCTTCTGACTCCAATGTTCACATCATTAATGAAGATGTTGAACAATATGGATCCGAGGACAGAGCCCTGGGAGACCCCACTGGTCACAGGGCACCATGATGATTGACTTCCGTCAGTTACCACCCTCTGGATCCGACCACAGAGCCAATTTCCCAGCCAGCAGATCGTAGCGGACCCAAGGCCACAACTGGCCTGTTTCGCCAAAAGGTCATCATGTGATACCAGATGGAAGGCTTTTCTGAAGTCAAGATATATGACATCAATCTCTTCTCCCTTGTACAGGTGATAGGTCACCTGGTCATAGAAGGAAATGAGATTGGTCAAGCAAGACCTACCCACAACAATCCCGTGCTGGCTATCCCTCAGGATGTTGGGATCTGCCAGTCCATTAAGGATGGCTTCTTTAATAAACTTTTCTAAGACCTTCCCCGGGATAGAAGTCAGGCTGATGGGCCTATAGTTAGCCAGATCCACTTTCCCCCCTTTCTTGAAGATAGGCACCACATCGGCCTTCTTCTAGTCTTTGGGCACTTCACCAGAGTGCCAGGAGTTTTCAAAGATCTGTGCCAGAGGCTGGGCTACAAGGCTGGCCAGCTCCTTGAGTACTCTGGGGTGCAGATTGTCAGGGCCAGCTGACTTGAAGGTATCCAGCCTCTCAAGGTGTTCCTTCACAAGGTCAGCATTAATGGAGGGCAGGAGATCTCCCTCACCTGGACCTCCCTGTCCCATGATGGGCATAGGCATCCCATGGGACTGATGAAAGACTGATGCAAAGTACCCATTTAATAGTTATTGAACATAAAGCCCAAGGTGTCCATTTTTAATTAAACATAGATTTTACTGCTGTAAAACTAAGGTGTGCTTGCTTCATTAGGGACAATATTTTGGTTTAGAAGAGCCCATGGCAAGACCATGTTGTTAAAATAAAATTACAATAAAAACAAAATCAAACAAAGAAGGGGAGTCATTTGGATAGGTAAGACAGTCATCGTTGCACTGTCAAAGAATAATATATACCCAGCTGGCAAGTACAGCAGTACAAGCTGACAATCAAATTACTCACAGCGAAGGTCCATAATCCTTGTCCAGACTTCAGAAAAAGACATTTTGTTCTGGTACGCCAATACAGCCTTCTCACATTTTGCAACATCTTGGCTTACACATACACAAATAAACTGGTTTTGCATTCACCACAGCTATGCAGTTTGCAGTCGCTACAGTCTTGATGAGCCATCTTCTATCCAGAGAGCACAGTATTATCCAAAGGGTAGCCAGCTAATATCAATACTGGAATTGCTGCAATACTGAGACTCATCTTACGACTGTATATCCTAGAAAAGTTAACATTGTGCATTGTCTCCTGCCCTGAATCATACTTTGTTAAAGCAGATTTAACTCTGTAAGATAGATGGGTACTTTTTCTTCAGTACTTGAATTGCTCTCTCATTTCTAAAAAGATGTCTTTTTCTTGTCTCTATGACTATAATTCTTTACTGCGAATCTAATATACCATGAAATTCATGTTCAAACTCCCATAATTAAGATTACTGAAATGAGAGAACCAATTAAGGAAACAAAATAAGCTCACATGGCCTGCCTTTTTTCTTTACCTTGGCGCATTTCCTATTTGAGAAACACTACCTGCCTTTCCTTGTCTAGAGACATATGTGCTAAAACATGCTTCTCACCCTTGATAAAGGTTATCCATTTTCCTCGTGATTCCTTTTAGTATTCTGTGGCACAGCCGTAAGTTATTTTTTTGAAGGATTCTGTCAGGAGTTCATGCAGCGAGATGTATTTTGGATAATATCACCAGTGGCTCATACCTGCATGACTTTTGTGTTCTCAGTTTTGCAAAAGGAGTCGAAAAAGGCAGAGACTAAAACCATTTTTTTCAGGAGAGGAAAGAATTAGTAACTACTGGGTGTCAGGGCACTTGGGTACTACCCGACCCAAGTGAACTGGAAATTAAGCTTCAGTTCTGCTTTTCTCTTTCCTTGCACATCCTTTCAGAGAGAAGGCTAAAAGAAAGATGGGCTTAAAAGAGAGCATGGCAGGATCAGCACAAAGGGTGGCCATGATGCCCCCTGGTGGCTGAACTACTTCTGCTCCACTCTGGCTCTGCAGGGCACCCTCCCCTTTTCTGCCTTACCTGCCATGCCTTGATAGAAATTATGGGTGCCTATACACATGCTCCAGTGTGTTCCAATTAGCAGCATGCTGCAGCACCTCATGTGTTCAACATCCCATGTTTCAAAATGGGAGTGAGGGCACCTTAACTAAAGCTCATTGAACGAGCTTTAGTTAAAGAACCACCACCACCATTTTGAAATGCAGGACACTTGAATACACAACATGCTGCAATGTTTTAATTACAGAGGCTCCTGAGAGACAAACAGGTTCAAGTTAAGACAACAAATAGGTGCAAATTGCTCTATACTCCATCATGACATGAACAAAAGCAAAGGCCCCATAACCATACAGATAGGCTTTCTCCTATACAAATGGCAGAATCCATCCTTCTTCATAGGATAAGCTCTGCTCTCTAAACAATGAAGGAGAAAGTCTATTTCCAAATGAAGCAGTTGAAGGAACAGTGCAGCATCAGGCTTTGTAAGAATAGCATTTTAGTATACACTTTGTAAGTATAGCTTTGTAAGTCTGCCATGTAAGTATAGCATTTTAGATCAATTTTCCTCTGGGATAGCAAGACAGACCTTGGAATGTTTGTTCTGCTCCAGGCAAACACACACAAATAGTGACTATAAGAGCCAAAGAACCTCCTACCATTTGATTTAGTATGAAGTGTTCAAATCTGATTTAGTATGAAGTGTTCAAATTCTAAGTGATGGGGTCAGGAAGATGAGTGGTTAAAGGATAACTAAGAACCAAGATATGCCAGGATTGTTACCTTTTATTAAATTTCTCTTACCATTTACATAACCATGAAGGAAGAATTTTTGTAGTTTGTACACATTTGCACAAACAAAGCATATAACATTTATTCATTTATTTATGTACATGTCCTTACTAGTTCTGCTCTGTTTGTTTGCCTTCTTCAAGCCCTAGTAGCACTGCATCAGCCTCCAGTATAGTTGTATCTGTTTTTCCTCCCAAGAATCTAGATGTGAGTTCAAGGTCCACCAGTCTCAGACGCACTTTGGTTCCTTTTTTATATTTTCTATGGAGAAGAGAAACGAAGCAAACAAGGTAAATTTTGTTAATCTCTATCTTCTAGGATATAGCATATCCTTAAATCTCTAGCAGTAAAGTGACCTGGACTATCCAATGGTTGTACCTCTGACTTTCCACAAGTCACTCAGCTGCTCTGTGCTTCAGTTTATTCATCTGTCAAATGAAGCATAAGATTTACCTATATATTTGCCAAGAGAACGTTGAGATCCTTGGACAAAAGGCACTACAAAATGCAAAGCAATATACTGCTAGCTTAAAATCCAAATAGACACTGTAGTTCCTTTGGCAAAAGATAAGGATTACTTACTGAAAAATGAATTTTTATAAGCAATGATTTACTTCAATCTGCGTGAAATAATCAGCATTATACAGCACTCAACATTACAATTCACTACATTTTATAAGTAAAAAAGTTGAAAGAAAGTTTCCTTATTTCTGATTTTATAAAAACTCTTCAAATTAACTTTATGACCAGTTTTATTTTTTAAATTATAATACTGTCAGGCCCAGAAGCCCTGTTTCATAGCTGAGCAAACTTGATGGAAAGTTTCCACTTTTATCAGTTGGCTTTGGATCAGATCAGGAGTCCCTGCTTACAAAATAGTGTTTTAAAGCAGTTTTGTTATGTATGAAAAAGCAATAAAAAATAGATACAGTAAATGTTATAGTACATCTTGTTATGTACATCGGTGGCATCTTTGTAGTAATTACACCTCATTACATAAAAGCTCATGCTTTCTTTAAAAAAAGTATATATATAAAAGATATATTAGCAAATATGTTATATTATTAAACACAACAAGTATGCTTTACATCAATGTTTTACCTCTACATATTTAAAGTAATTACATATTTACGTAAAACACATAAAATATTGCATATTTACAATAATCCAAATTAAAATTACAGGCAGTGTGATTTGGGCAAAACATCCTCTCAGCTGTTTCTCACCTTTTAGATTTTCTTTATACTGTCTCAAGTCATTTTATTTGGTATAAAGAGACTGAAGCAAGGTGAGGACTTTATCACAGTTGTAGGCATTCGGACAGTATTCATACATCATGATGACAGAGATCAAAAGAGTCTCTAAATGAATAACTCTGGATGCTCTCTAACTTTGTCTAGTCTCTGACTAAAAAGTGCTGAGTTTGGGACACTGACAAATTCAAACCCTGATAAGTTTTTTGTTTTTTTCAAGTAGGCAGCAAAGACACCTGTAATTAAGACATTGCTGTTACAAATACTTTTCATTGTAAGACCCAGTTTTCAGTTGTGTCTAACTTTGGCAAATTAACTGTTACAAGTCTTTGAAAAAGCTCAGTTCGCTCTTGCTCAGTAATGCCTTGTTAGGGCTTGGCGGTTATATCCTCTGAAGAATTCCTTTCCTCTACATGCACATCTCTTTTCTGTTGCTATACGTGACTGGAAAGCCGTATAGAATCATAGACTCATAGAACCAGAAGGAACCTGTAAGATCATCAAGTCTGGTTTCTTGCCATAGGCAGGAAGTTACTGGGTTCAGATAAGTTCAACAAGGTACCTGTCCAGCCTCCTTTTGAACACCTCCAAAGATGGTGACTGCCAGTGGCAGACCAGCGGTCTGAAGGTGCCATGGCCCCCGGGCACCGGTCAGGCCCTTCAGAGTTCTTATCACACTATGTCACTTTAAGTATTGCTACGAGAAGGATGGGGGGTGGGGGTGCAAATGCAAGCATTGGTCCCCAGACACTGGAGGCCCACAGTACGTCACCGGTGACTTCACCACCTCTACTGGGAGTGTGTTCCAGATTTTGGTGACCCTACAAAGAAGAAGTTCTTCCTTATATCTAGCCAGAAATCCCCTTCTATAAGCTTATGTCCATTGGTCCTCGTCCTCCCTTGAGGTACCTTCCTAGCTTTCCCCCAGAGCACATGAATATGTTCCACTCCAGGGCTGAACTGAACGTTTTGTGGAACAGCTGCATGTGATTTTCAGTGCCAGCTGCAATGCTGGACACCTGAACTGAGAGCAGGGAGATTGTCTTTCCCAAGGTTTTCTATGCTGCCACACAGACAGTAAGTGGATGAATCAAGTAAATAAAACTCATGGGTGGAAGGACCCAACCTGGAAGGACAGAAGGTACCAAGAGGTGGGGAAGGGATTTAGGTGAAAAGTTGAAGGAGGAGGGATTGGAGCCAGTTAAGGACTAGGGAGACCGGAGCATGGGAATCAGTGGGACAGCCATGCAATCTTAATTGGTCTCTACTGTGTGTACATCTCATGATACAGTCTTCAATCAGATGCTCACATGCCATCTATTCACAGGACCCCTACCCCATTCAGTGCCCAAGTTGGATAATGATCAATTAATGGAGCAGCTATTCAAGGTTTGGTTTTATCCTTCATATTCACAGCATGACCTAAGGCCTACTTACTGCAAGAATCCAAACCCTGCTCTGAAAACAGAATTATTAATTTCATCAAGGACTTCTCTATGATGTTCATCACTGTCACATCTGGGGGGTTTATAAATGTTAATCCATTTATCTTGCCCAAACCTCCCTTTAGATCACATGGTATTAAAGTTCACAGAAGGGGTCTAAAGTGGAGACATTAATGTTCAAAATGTCTACTAACTTTGGATGCCCAATCTGAAATGACTATTACCTGACATTAGTTGCCCTGTATTTACTTTGAGCAGTCTCTCTGACTTCTGTTGCACCTGTGTGTATTCAGTCATTCTTCCAGGCAGACCCCACATGTTTCACACTGGGCACTCAGAAAATAAACAACACCCAGCTGAAGAGTCAGGTGTATGCAACCTGCCACGTATCACACAGGGGTTCTGAGATGTTTAAGATAGAACCCATTTCTCCTGGGCAGCATTCAACTGTTTGAAGCAGATCATCTCTCCTCTGGTAGTTACCTGCTTCATTTGTTGAACACAACTTCTATAACAAATAAACAACAAATGAAATGAGGCTGATGCTCTAGAGCAGGGGTCGGCAACCCCCAGCACACATGCCGAGAATGGTATGTGAGGCCATTTTGCTCAGCATGCCATGGCCAGCCCTGGCTCTGGGTAGCGGCTACCAGCAACGGAGCCCGGGCTGCTCCCAGCAAGGCTTGCAGCATCCCAGCTGCCTGCTGGGAGCAGCCCAGGCTCCTGGCTAGCAGCAGCTATCCAGAGCTGGGGTCGGCTGCAGCCGGGAGGCTCCAAACAGCTGTGCCGGGCTCCAGAGCCCAGGCATCAGCTTCATACTGGTGCGTGCACATGCACCTCAGAGCAAGCGGTGGGAGAGAGCCATGAGGCAGCACAGTCCCAGTCTTTCCCCTGCTCCCAGCACGGAGGTGATGGCAGGGCTCTGGAGCCCGGTGCAGCTGTTTGCAGCCAGCCTGGGCTCTGGGCAGTTGCAGCAAGCAGCGGACAGGCTATAAACAGCTGCACTGGGCTCCAGAGCCTCAGCATCAGCTCCATTCTGGAGATGACTGCATGGCACCTCTGGGCTAACAGCAGGGCAGTGCAGCCCACCCTGAGGTGCCCATGCAGTTGCCACCAGCACAGACCTAATGCCGGGGCTCTGGAACCTGGCGCAGCTCTTTGGAGCTTCCCGGCTACAGCCGGCTCTGGCTCTGGGTAGCTGCTGTCAGCCGGGAGCCCGGGCTACTCACAGCAGGCAGCTGGGATGCTGCAAGCCCTGCTGGGAGCAGCCCAGGCTCCAGCAGCTACCCAGAGCCGGGGTACCTGATGACAGCCACAGAGCCCGGGCTGGGGGGCAGGGGCTTTGG